CAATAGATGAATGGATGAACAAATTGTGATATGTACATATATATACATACATACATATATGTGTGTGTGAGTGTGTGTGTGTATATATATATATATATATATATATATATATATATATATAAATTATATGATGGAGTTCTGCTCAGCCATGAAAAGAAATGAAATTATGGTATTTGCTAGTAAATGGATAGAAATCAGAATATCATGCTAAGTAAAATAAGCCAGACTCAGAAACTAAAAGGTCAAATATTTTCTCTCATATGATAGAATAAAATAAATGAAAGGGGAAGGGAAGAATAGTATAACAAAAAAATAAAGGGAAGTTCAGTAATGTAGAAGAAGGAGATCAAGAGTCAGAGGAGAGGAATGGGTAAGGGGAGGCAATGAAGAATGGATTATTTAAAAAGTTACATGCATGTATAAATATACCACAGCTAACTTCACATTTATCCATAGGTAGAAAGAAGCAATCAAATATAAATAAATAGACATGTGGAAAGAAATCAAGTAGAGTAGAAGCAGGAGAATGGGAGAAGTATGTAAAAAGGAGAGGATCATAAACCAAAATCAAATTCCGTGCATGTATGAGTTTGTGGGAGTGAACTCAGCTACAATGTATAATTATAAATTTCTAATAAAAAAGAAGAGCATGGAACAATTACCCCCAAACAAGCCAATCAACCAACCAAAAACAAAACAAAAAAACCTTTGAAGGCAAGCTAAACCATTTAATGTGGCAGCAGCTTTTTCCCTATAATTAAAGGTGCTTGCCCTTAAAAGAGCCTGCTTAGCAGATAAATATGTTGTTTATCATATTTTGAGACAGATAAAAATAAATTTTAAAAAATTGCCATAAGAAGATTTCCTTTGAAATAAAACAGTACTTTCTGGTTACTTGGTTGTAAATCCTTTGTATATAGGGACTGGGCTTTATTTTCTTTTATATTATCTACTTGTTCAAACATATAGTAAGATTTAAATTGAGGAAAGGAGACACAGTAAAGAATTAGGAATGAAGAAAATGGATGAGGAATTTCACAGTATTGTACATTTAGCTATACATGCTTATTATTCTCCAAATAGAACTTGCTAAAAATCTTTTGTGAGATATTAATTAATTTGGAAACCAATCATTATGATCTAATTCTTGCCAAACAAAAATTTTGACCATCATTAAGTAGATACATAAACAACAATTAACTTACACTGTGATGCATTTCATTTGCTTTTTAGTATTATTTGTTTTGGGAAAATGGGGAAGACAAATATGGGATTTTAGTTTTTGTTTGTTAAACATTTGTGTAGTTGTCTGTGTAATGGATTTTAACATCTATAGATCTATATATGCAAAAGTGGAAATTTGTTTTCTTATAATTAAACTTATTCTAACTTACTCTCTGAGCTCACATACACTGGTTGCTAAGCTTAATCTTTCTAATTTAGGAAATTCACTTTATTTTAGATTATAACTCAGTCTCATTAGGAAAAAAACTCAACATCCTTTTTCCTATTATTCTTCTCCTCAGAATTTTTGTTAAATATGTCAAGCTACCATGGGAGGAACCTAGTGATAGTGTATGACATATTACCCAGTCGATAGAACAATTACAGCAAAAACTCTCTTCCCCTTCAGGCTTTGCCATTGGTATTTTCGAAGTCCACTTTCAGAAATTCAAACGAAGAAACTTTTACCTCTCAACACATTCTGACTTTTAAAAATAAAATGCCCTTATACTTTCAATCTATTCTCTGGGATAGAGATTTATAATGCTCTACTTTGGATGTCAAGTGCCAATAAATCAGTTTTTGGTTCTCTTTTCATTTTGTTTTCTGCCTTCTTTGGGGGCAATCAAATTGACCTTCAAATTCTGACTTTAATTAAGAAAAAAAGTATAGAATTTATTTAAAAACTGCATTTCAAAATGTTGTACTGCACTTAACTGAAGTGATAGAAGGTGGAGTTAGCAAGAGAAGTTTACAAAAAAATGAAGAATCTTTCAGCAAAAATCCTTTCTTTGATTGCCCTGTGTATTAATGTTTCCAATATAATAGAAGGCAACTTTTGTATCTCAGGATGGCTATAAGATGATTGATGGAAATTGCTAGTAATTCGGCAATTCTTTGCTCTTAAAATAATGCACTTCAGCATTTGTACTAACCCCTGGACATTCCCCTCTCCCCTCAAATCAAATCTTAAACTATACTCTGAAGCTGTTAAGACATAGCTTCCTTATACATCACTTCTGCAAAGCATGACATCCTAAATGTACCATAATAATACATTCTCTTTCTTTTAAACTTTATTTTCAAAATGATAGAAATTTTGAGTCCTAGTTCTTCTACAGTTAAGAAAAAATTAAATAGAGGTAGAATTCCCAACGATGATTGCTTTGTCTAATTCATTCTATCAGCAAAGTTTTAGTTGAGGAATACAACTATGGAAAATTTTATACAGGTATTTCATATTTTTTTCTTTCCTAGTAGTTCATGAGCTATATGGCTAGGCATAAAAACTCAAGTCAGTTATAATGTCCTTTTAGCTACTGGTATTCACCCGAAATACAGATAACAGAATAATCAATTTCAAGAACTCAGGTTAATGTTTAGCTATTATGCGTATGTGGGAAGTACCCAACATTTTGATTTTCTTTTTCTGGCACTCTATGTTTAGAATTTCATGCAAATAGATGTTTCTAGGATTCTGTGAAACAGTTGGGGTAATGGCAACATTTCACAAAAGTGGAAATTTCTCAATTTTTTCTTAATATTTTTTGTGCTATATTTAATTGTAGTAATTCTAGAGATTATTTTATCACCATTTCTAACATTTTGATTATAGCTGCTTCAGCTTAAGTCGTTGGCTGTTTCTTGCCACTTATTTCACTATCATTTTTTTCATATTGTATATGTTCATGAAGAACTTTTGTTTCCATATCTAGTCTTACCTCTATGATTATTCAACATCATTAATACTGTGACCTCTGACTGCATTGCTCAGTTGCAAACAGTAACCACACAACCTTCTATAAGTCCAAACAAAAAAGGAGCTAGATGATTATTATGCCTTTTACACTTATGCCTAAGTTTCACAGGAAATATGATGGTGATGATTCACATGTGCTTTCTATCAAGAAGGGACAATGCTCAGAATTATTTTAAGCCTTAATGATACATTCATAACTGAATGCTACTAATTAGGTTAAAATCCTAGTGTATTTATAATGAATGCTTTCAGTGTTTAACATAAATTTTTTATGTAAATAATCTGAATGTCCTTGATATGGAAAAAACTGGCTGAATTTCAGGCTACAGAAAAGTGACCATCTATGTCAATAACTTGTTATTTAGTATTTAGACAAAATAACTTACTATTTGCATCTTATAATAGAGCTTCACTCATTCATTTATTCAACTAACATTTTTGTTAGTGTAACAATTATTAAGTCTTATAATCAGTACTAAATAACAAACCTCAAAGAATAAGATAATATTCCGGCCCTTGGAAATAGTTCACAGTCTACTAGAAAGATGATTTTATATATATATCATGAAAACACTGGAAGAAACTCTAATGTAAGCAAATAAACCCTTTCATAGGAATATCAAATCAATATGGAACCAGGTGGTATTGTAGGAGGTCAGCACAGATTTCCGGAGAAAGGAACATTGTGAGCAATATCTTAAAACAATAGTAAGAYGTGAGCAAGCCAAATATAGGCACTAGGCAGACTAGGTCAAGGTTCTAATATTCTCATAGGCCAGAGGCATGGCAGGATAAGGAGGATTTTGGAAAATATAAAATACACGATACTGAAGTATAAGAGACCTACATAGGACTGATATGAGACAGATTTAAAACATCACCAGGGATCATACTCTATGGTAGTTTGATTTTATTCTCTGTATGTAAAGAAGTTAGTGTTACTCTATAAGGAAATTTGATTATGATTGATTACCCTTGTAGCTAATCCAACAGATAGTTAACACAAACATCATACACAATTACCAGAAAGTATGGTAGAAGAAGGAAACTCATAGAGAGAGTTCATGTTTATGTTCTGGTATACTGAGATGTTTTTGTTGTAATTGTTTTCTGTGTGCTTTTAAGTAATAGAGTTTTTAAACATATTGAATAGGGATTCATGTGATAAGACCAGAAGTCAAAATACTAAATTTAAATTTCTTATACCATTGTCCATTACTATTGATATTGCACTTATTTGCTGGTCTCCTCTCATTACTTTTATTTGGAAGTATTGATCATTTTAAAGAGAAAAAGACTCTTTTACTACAATAATAACTTCCTGCTTGCCTCATGGCTTAATCATGCCAAGAGGGAAGGAGAAGAATATGCACATTTTCGAAGTATACATATTTTTCTGAGATTCATTTGCTTCAAATAAATCAATCTCTTAAAACTGTGTGTTTRTATGTTCACAGACTTGTGAGATTATTGGTTCACAACATTGATATTATTTTTTTTTCCATTTTTCATTATATACTAATTTATAATGTTTCTGGAATTGTGTTAAACCTCATAGTAAGTCAGTAAACAAATAAATGGAACTCCATGGTTTTTATTTTTATATATATTTGACAAAGGTGACAATTTTGAAGAGTTTTATAATACACATACTATTGTTTCAAGAATTTATCATCTCATCCTTTACAGGTTATTTTCATTTTAATCAACAAATTGTTCTTAATTTTCACCTACATGTCATTCAAATCTCAAATATCCTCTGCTGGAACTAGAATCTAAAACAGTATGTAATCAATAAAAATGTTTCTTAAAATGTAAACTTGTTATATTTCATTAATTTTGTGTTAAAGGGTAAAGAAATATAAACAAAATATCTTTATTTTTTTCTTTATTATTAATTCTCAGTGCCTTCAGTGTGCAGTGTATCTGAAGACAAAAGTTTACAGAATTAGAACATGCTACATTTGTGTGATTTTAAAAGGTGGACACATGACTAATTTGATTTCTCTTCTTACAGAAAGCCATATCCTGGAAGATGTCAACAAGTGTATCATAGCCTTGAGAGACCAGGATGCAGATAATTTAGACCGTGCTGCAGGAGCTATCAGAGGAAGGGCAGCAAGAGTTGCTCACATTGTCACAGGTGAAATGGACAGTTATGAACCTGGGGCTTACACTGAAGGTGTTATGAGAAATGTTAACTTCCTTACAAGTACTGGTAAGTCTCCATTCCCAGGAACAACTTTACTGTTCTTGTTGTTTGAATTTGTTTGACATTCCAATATTCATACATATGGGAAAAGAGTCTCATTCTGTCTTACTTGTTCCAACATACAATAGAATTACTATACTATCTGATTGGTGCTTAAGACTCATGGTTATGTGATTTGAAATTTATCCTGGTGAAATAAATATCTTCACTAAGGAGAAAAGGTCTTTTATAGTTATATATGTTATATAAATTATCCAAAGACCTTAGCCACTTATGAATGTTTATTAATGTCAGAGTTGTTAGATATATAAATAGGACAGTATATTATCAAGTATGCAATGGTCTCTGGACCCTCTTCTTGCTGTGTCATTTATACCCGCAGGTTTTTTATTACATTATTATACAACAAGTTTGTCATGTATTTCCAGAGAAGTGTTCTCTACCTTCATCTGTGGTTGTTTGTGAAATGCCATTTTCTTCTTGCATGTAATGTTCTTTGATTGCTTAAAATAATATGTCACTAGGATTTTGTTTGGGTTGAAATTCTAAAATCAGTGAGTAAACGCTTTGATTCACTTGTTAAAATGGCATCCTTCTTTTTAACATTATGGTGAACGTTTCTCCAGTAAACTTACAGAAGTATGGATTCATACATAACAAGGGCAATCAACTACTTTTATGAGTCATCCTGGCAAAATTCTTTCCTCTGAGAACAATTTTTGAACTTGTATAATCCTCAGGTAGAATTATTTTGTTATTGCCTTTTAACTTAGAGTGATAGTGTATCTGTGATTCTTAAAATATTTAAAGTTCTCTACTTAAATCATCCATCCTAAAGAATCATTATTTACATTATGTATAGGGAATATTAAATTTGAAATGTATGTACATTGTTTAGTTAAAAAGGGTAGAAGGGACAAGAATGGATTGTTTTTTTTCAAAAAATTATTTGCCTTTTTATTATAAAGGTGTTCTTTGTGATGAATTAATAAAGAGAAACATACCAATAGTTAAATACTAGAGACTGGTTCTGAAGAGCTATGCTAGAAGAAAAACTTAGCAAAGAATTTTGTAAAGAATCAATGATTAGTTTTCCTAGTATGTTGACACATAAAATCTTTGATGAATCTTGGCACAGAGTTTTTTCAGTCTTTAAAATTATTTCAAAAACACYGAAACACTGAAAATGGGCTAAGGAAAGATGGAAGAGGTATACCTACAACTCTTGATATTAAACTTATATTTCTATATGCCCTTCTCCAAGTTACTTGTGTCACAAATAGGTCACATAGTGCTTGGCTTTTCAATTAGGTGTGGTAATATATTTACTTGCTTAAGAAGTTGATTGTGTTATGATCATTCAATCTCTCTTCACTTTATTAGATCTTAGTGGTCCTTTCTTGTTGGTTGATACCAAGTACAGAGTTGCCTGTGTCCCTGATTTATTTATTTTTTCTTCTGCCTTTCAAGAATAAAATTGTAAGTGAAAGAAAAATGTAACAGTGATTCCTTCTTCAGCCAAGTGATAATTTTCTGTAGAGAATTGAATAGGCAAATTCTACCAGAATTACTATATTTTGCTTAAGTCATATTAGCAATATCTTTTAATTATGCTCTTTGTGATGATAATGTTTTCATAAATTGCCAACTGTACAATTTTATACTCCATTAGAAAGAGTTCGTATCCATCACATGCACAAAAAGAAGCAAAAGTGAAATTCTGAATTGTTCAGAATGTGAAGTGTATTACGAGACATTGTTCACAATCTGAAATCAGAAAAAAACATAAGTTGTCTACGCATTAAACTACAAGTTTGTTAATGCCTTGATGATTTCTAATGACTGAATCAGATATGTAACCAATATGGCTACATTATCATAACCAGAAGAGAAAAAGTCCATTTGCCTCTAATTAGCTGTATGTATTAGTTAAAAATTTCCAGGTATATTATGTCTTATCTCCCAAATAAAATAGATGCAGAATAATCCTGGGTTATTCTATATAAGACAAATCTTATTATTAATGTAACAGTATAGTTGATGACTTCTCAATTTTGTCATTCTAGCTTTTCAGATAAATTTTTGGTGTGTCTTTGAAGAAAGCTTCTGAGTCTAAAGTATGTCTAATTCAAACTTCTCTCCAATTAGCTTTCCTTGAAATTTATCAAAAGCATGCCTCACTGAAGGGAATTCTGAAGAATACATTTGATGAAAAAAATCTAATTAGATCAGTTTGATCTTAACTAAAGCTGAAAAATATGAGAATTCTCTCTCCCACTGAGATATTATCTATGAAAATACTTCCTATGATTCTATGCTGCACCATTAACTAAATGGGAGATGTTCATCTTTGTTAACTTTTGCTTCTTATCTTGAACTTATTATTTATAAATAATTGTCAAATTACATAATTGGAAATTTCATGTTTTGAATTATGAAACCTTAATAGTTCCTATTTGAGCAAGAAGAATGGCTATTTATGTGGCCTGTTTTTTGGTACTCTTTCTTTCATATAGTTCTCAGTACTTAAACTAGCTCCCTGAAAATAGCTTAATAAGATGCTCTTATGAGTTTTTTTTTCCTGAGACTTTCTAGTCTTTGCAATATTTGCCTTCAAGTATTGTCATCAATGATAAAACCTAGGCCATACTTATCTAAATCAGTGTTTTGAGTGTTTTGAAATATGGCAGCTTTGATTTAAATCAGACATTGTGGCTCATTAGCACATTTTCAAGAATTGATTTGCTTCCTAATGTTTTCTTAGCATTAGGAAGCAAGGTTGCTTTGTTGCATTTCAGGAATTGACATTGTTCACACACACTAGAAGTTGACTTTAAATGAAATATAGTCAACATATGGAGTACTGCACTTTAGTCAGAGTCATAATACAGTAATCTCCATGTGAAATTCTTGATTCTATCCCATTCTTCCCTGTCACTAAGCTCCTCCACCTGTCAAGAATCCCTCATGGGGGAGAAAATATATTGGCTTTTTTGTTAAACAGCAAACCTTCTGAATTGCAATGGGAAGGCTTATTTGAGTTTCTTCATATAAGGTTTGGGGAAAACTAATGCCGGAGTGGACTGACATAGTATATTTTTGAATGATTTATAGACTCTGTCAAATTCAGAAATTAGCAGACCCCAAAGCATCTGTTGCAAATCTCTAAACTGCAACTGTTTTTACTGCCAGCCAGGTTCACTGACCAAAACAGAAGCACCTACATGCATCTGACCACGAAATCTTGATGGCATTCACTGTTGGCAACTGGTAGTTATGGGAACTAAAGACTCATTCATCAAGTACCAGATAAGCCCAAACTGAAAAATTTATACCCAGAATTACCTCCTAGAGTAGAGAAGAATCATATAATTACATTTCTCCCCTTCAAAGGCAAATGAGTCAGTTGAAAACATATTCAGGCCTATTTCTGAAATGTTGTATTTTTTTCTTCAAACTGGTTTCTAAGGTGTATAGATTTGATTAAGTTAATGATTAAATTAATAGGTGTGATTTCATTGATAGTTCTTTWWWAAAAAAAAAAACATGCTACTTTCGTTACATCTCTATCCTACAACCTTAAATAGTCATAGATTTAAAAATGAAGGCTTGTGATCTACCATCCAGCAATTTGAAAATTGATCTATTTACTAGATGTGACTCAAATAATTTGTACGTATCCAGTAGAGTTTTGACTGACGTAATTTGTACATAATTGGCTGGAGCTTAGTGTTGTCCTTGCTTTTTTGAGCCTGGGCCATAGTTTCCACAATGCGATAGTCTCCTCTGCCCTCTCTCTCTCTCTCAATATACCCAGTCTACTTTGCTTACTTAATTTATGTTCCTGCAATTCACCACAAATTTCATTTCCAACATTTTCCCTAGTATTATCCAAAATATATCTTCTATTCTAGCTAAGTTGATACTTTCACAATCATGTGTATATGCCAGAATTGTTGCTACCTTTAGGTCTTCTCCATGCCATCCCTCATTTTGATATCCCTATCCATTGTTTCTCACATCAAATTATATCCATCTTTCAACAAACACTTATATCTTGTCTTCTAGAAACCTTTCTGCACTCCCTTTAGCCTAGTAAATTCTTTATATGCTGAGGTGTTGTGGTTGTTAAGGAATGTGCCTTTCAGTTACAGTCTTCCAGACAACTACTTGCTGTCTATGAACTTTTTAAATGTGCTTATAATTTCTACATATGCTATTTCTTTTCGGAACAGAATGTAAGCTGCAGGAGAAAAATATATACCTATGTTTTCTCTTGGCATTTCTGCAAGAGCCTATCTTTTTTCTTGTGTTACATTAAAAAWAATAATAATAAAAACATCTTTTCCAAAGTTGTAATGCCTTCTCTTCTCTATTGCCCTCTCAAAACAAAATTATCTTTAACATTTTCTCAGTGATCCTACCTTTGCAAAGGTGCTTCTGATTCCCTTTAATTTAGAATTAACTGCTCCAATATCTGTCCATGGGTGAGCTTGTCATCTAGTTAATGTTTATTTAATTTTTTTTCTTGCATCATTATTAGCCATTTACTTACAAGTTTCTCCCATAAAGTTACAATATCCTCAAAACTAGATATCACATTTTATTTATTTCTATCTTTCCTAGTAGAATCTCTTACCCAGTAAATATTAAAAGTCCTCAGTGATAATTGACAGCCAAGTAAGTCCTTCTCTAAACTTTAAACTTGAAATTTTCTACAACAAGATTATATTCTGATGTTGTATAACATAGTTGAGGGATGGAGTAAGTTKTCATCCCTATTTAGGAAAAACAAAACAACAGAAACCTCAGAAACAATGGCCATGTCAAAGGCTGGGACAGAGGGAAGTAATTCATTACTGTCCAAAGATAGACATTAGCTACTTCCAGAAAACTTAGGGTCACATTTTYGCAAAGTTCTTCAGCAAGCTTTTGAACAAGATATCATGACTTTTGTTTATTCAATTACTTACAGGAGCCATCATTGAACTTCATCTTCTGAAAGA